CTGCTGTTCATCACTTTATCCTACATCTCAGTTACCAACAATCATCAATACCGTTTCCTTTTCTCTCTCTCTCTCTTCCAGAGCCTTTCCCTGCCTTAACTCCTGGCATAACAAGTAAGTTCCACTTCCTTTTCTATTTGTGCTTCCTGCTTGTTGCTCCTGTCAGCACTGCACCGGCCCTGAGTAACCTTGTTAGTGCACAACAATATGTTACCATACAGTGCTAGACAACACACACAGGAATAACCACTGAGTTATTACATCTTGTCCAAAGTTCTTACATGTGGTATGTAAGTATGCATTTCTGAATCTGACAGTGTTACAGTACATATGTTATTGGTAGATTTCGATACATGGATGAAACCTATGGTGATGGAATGGATCCTCTGTATTGTTCCAGCATGACTCCCTGCATGCTGGGCTGATCCTGTTGGTTATGTAGTTTGGTCTTGTATGTTTCTCAGTGAGAAAGTTATGTTTTTCACTACAGAAACAGTAGTATACGGCAGTAACATGGGATTCGTTACTACAATAGCAACAGTGTGCATTTGCACATTGAGATTCATCAGCATATATTTGTACATCACATAGACTGATATGGTTACAGTTTTTAATGGTGAGCGCATTGTTGTGTCTAATATGTCACTGGTACAGTATACACTTCACCCCCAGCGTATGAGTGTGTACATGTATAAATGCACCTGGAATGCACGTGGCATTCAGGGGCCCATGGCAAATACTTGAAACACTGTTCGTTTTCCACGGCTCCTAAACAATTTGTACTGTAACATTAGGTTAAAACCATGAGGTCTGGGGTGTACCGCTCAAACTCAAAGTGAAACAGTCTCCATCTGCTCTGTTTCTCTGCTTTTCCAGGAATTTAAAGAACTAAGCAGGAGTTGCTCCCCTCTCCTTAAAGCTACAGTATGCAACTTTTTAAAAAATATTTTTGTCATAGAAATCTGCTCCAAATGTGGAGAGGTGCTGGCAAAGACTCCTGTGACCAAGACTCATTGAATAGCCCCGGCAGCAGTGCAGAGATACTAGATTCTAAAAGGTTATGAGCGGGACTGACCTCTCTAACCAATCAGAGATTTTCAATTAATTCAGCTTGATCACCAAGTTTTGTTGCATTGTCGTTTGCTGTAATTTCATAGCGACAAGTAAATGAAGAGCCATGCAGAGCATGTCGGAGCATAGCAGATGGTAGTAGAACATAGTCGAGCAAGGAGAAGGAGTGCTGGGCGGAGCAGAGTGGGTTGATTAGGAGTTTCATGCCACTGATTCCTAAGTTACATATTGTAGTTTTAGGTTTTACTCCTCAGTCCAACTCTCACTGCTGTTTTCCTTTATGATAGACAGCAGCACACTCCTCATCCATTCCTCCATCTTCTCTGTATTCAACTCCACACAAGTTTTCTTTTCCTCTCTCTCGTTACATTTTCTCCCTCCTCTCAGCTTCTCTACTTTCATCTAATCTTCTCCATTCTGCTCCTTTGCTTAGTTTTCCATTTTGTTCATTTTTCCCCTCCTCTTTTTTTTTTTTTAACCTCCATTCCTTGCTCTGTTACTGTGCCCAAAACATTTTTGGTCTGACCTGAGTGAAATGCAGAAGCTGATCATCATCATCCAGCTTTCCTCTCTCTTTGTTTTGTCTCCTTCATCTTCAGATGGACTGCTTTGGAAACAGATTTTACAAAGGGCTTAGACAGATTATGCTGCTGATCTCTTGTTTTCAGAGTCTGGGTTGGGACCTGAAACTGTGGCTGCTTTTGTTTTGTCTCATAAAATACAAATAGTGCTAATTTTTAAGGACACTGGACCTCACTGAGACATGGGATGTGTTGTTAAAAATATATACAGTTCACAACTCTGAGTAGTATATCAAAATGTTTAGGATTTGCATTTTGTGTCTTTGTTATTTGTTTTTCTTTATGTGAGATTGATTGTGGTTGAGGTTGAAACTGGAGCACACCACAACTTTAGGTATTAGCTACTGTAGGAAATCAATTTTCTGAAGTGAAGGAATTTGAAGTGCTGTATGATTATGGATATTACACTTTATTTCAAATTACATTACTAATAATGTCTTAGTGCGACTGGGTGCGTGTGTGTGTGGGGTGGGGGGTGTGCATGTGCTCCTAGTGTATGAAAAAAAATTAAGAATCTTCTGTTTTTGTCAGATACTTGCACAGCCCTTAGTTTTGTTCACCACAATTCAGTAGAGTAAGAAAAATAAATAAATAAATAAAACACTTCTCAGTAATAAAAATATTATTCCCAAGAACCAAACTCAAAAAAGTCTCCTGATGCATACCCTGTTCTATATTAAGTATTTGACCTAATGCTTGTTGATTTGTTTTTACTGTTGGATCCTAAACCGGTATCATCTGACCCCCATCATGACAGCAGTGTCAGTTCTAACATACAGTGTTTTCATGACACTGACCGCAGAAGGAAGGATGCTCCATCAGAGCACCTGTTGAAAAGTGCATGTAGTTGAACCTTAATCAAGACTTGTGCATACTGTTCATTAGAAATGCCTCAGTTGTGGTTTATTTAAGGAGTGAGCCTGCACGGGAGGATGAGGAGCTAGCACTGGTTGTGAAGAGCAGATTTTTATTTCTTTTTTTTTTTTTTTTAAATTTTACAGATAAATTAAATGAGTTCTAAATTGACATGTAGTAAGGAGGTGTGAGGAGGAATAGTGGCTGGCCTGGACCTGGCAGACTGAAGATGCCCATAGTAACTAATTACGGAGCAGCATTTTATTTTGATGAATCAGCAAATCTCTTTGCATTTTGAATTTTAATTGTGTCCTACTCATAACTATCTACTTTAAAATGACACAAGTGACCAAAGCACAAAAACCCAGTAAAGAAAATATTAAATAAAATAAAAGCAAGCAACCCCAAAATTTACTTTCAGAGAAACATTAGAGGAACTGGAGATAATGTTTGAAGTATTCCTCCTTAATTACAGCCTGATAATGTGATCACCAGTTAACAGTACAAGGGCAGTTTCACTGTTGCGTGACATGAACCAGTGTGCCACACTGTTGGGTTTTTGTATCCATGGCAACCAAGGAAGTATTTGGCTTCCAACAAGAACAGTCTGGCAGCAAACGTACCGATCTTACACACACACACCCACCAAGCAGTGGCTTCAGTGTGACTACAGAGAGGGGAAAGGAAGCTAAGTAATAGTACATTTTTGCAGCCATGGAAATGGTCAGTGTTTTAACCCACTGGTGAACAGGGTCTCTGTGGAGGTTACTTAAAGCAGCGCTTTACAATCAAAGGCCGTTTTAAAGCCTTTAAGAGTGTGTCTGAACTTAAAAAAGACAAATTAAACTCAGTGGTTTCCTTGAGGTCCTGTATCTCTGTCTGCACCTCTCCTTCCTCTGCCCTTTCATTATTTCTCTCCTCTCTCTCATCTCCATCTAATTCTTGCCTTGGCTCTATTTTCAGTTTCTTTCTTGCTTGCTCATCTTCGTTACTCTTCCTTTCTTTTTTCTGTCTCTCTTTCTTCCACGACCTCTCTACCATTGGGTTTCTTTTTCAGTGAGTTGACAGAGTATTGAAGTTTCAGACAAACCCTTTAATGCTGGATTAAAGATATCATGGCAGGATTAGCTCTCTCCTTTCACTCACACACACACACACACACACACACACACTTTTTACCACCCTTCTCTATTTCGCTCTATTCTTCCCTCCAGTAATACCATCTCTCTTAGTCTTTTTCTACCCCTATAATTTCTCTGATTCCCCTCGTTCCCTCTTCATCTCTTTCTCTCTCCACTTGACTCCCTTCAGTGATGTTGCCCTAATAAATGCACCTGCGTCCTACCAAATGCAGCCACTTAACACTCTCCATCCTTTCTTCATGTCAGCTAGTCACTGCATAATCAAGGCTTTGCATTCTCTGACTGAATGTGAACGCATGGCATGAGCCTTTGCGTGTCAATGTGCAGCTAATGCTTGTGAGGTTTGCATCAATCAAAAATACTCTGAGTAAAATCCTCATAATCAAATATATGTCTATCAGCATAGTTTCTTATTTAAACAGTGAAAGTGAGCTAAATGTGGAAGCTGCTGTTGTTGTTACATATTTTGTGTAGTTGAATACCAGGAAGGCACAATAATATCAGCTTAGCAACTGACCATTCGCTTTGTTCCATCCCCACTGGTTACTGTTGATCGGACTGTCAAGCTTTCCATTCTCACATGGCATGTAAGCAGTTGACAGTAACTTATCACTCAGTATACTTCATTTCAGACAAAGCTAGAAAAGGCTTTTCATTTCTAGCCGGTAGTCATTATAGGGCTGTCGCGATAACTGCGATATTACAATACAGTGCTACTGACAAGCCAACTGCAAGAGATGGGAAGCAACCGCAATGACCGCTATGCAAGAAGTCCTTTGCACAAGCAGTGCCACATGCATCAAAAAAAGAAAGACCCTAGGAGACCCGATGAGGTCTCAGATTACCTCTGCATCTTTACCTAAGAGAACTCAACCAATAAGCCAAACGTGTGTGTGCTACCTACACGAGGAACCCCTAGACTCAAATGGTCTGTCTGGTGGCATCACAACCAGGATTCCTCTGCTCTCTAAAATTGCCCACAAATACATGAGTATTTGTGCAATGAGCACACCATCAGAGAGAACTTTTAGTGCCACTGGGAACATTGTATCCCCTCTCTGATCCTCTGAAACAGCATAGGGTTAATATATTTTTCCTAGCACGCAACAAGATGTTATTCTTTATGCTAAAGAAAATTAATGTTTTGTTCTCATCTGTCTTTTATATGCCTTTTATATTGAATTAGTTTTGTGCCCTTTCTTTATTTCCTTTTATGCGTCATAAAGACCGTGCTGTGCTCTAACAACAACTACAAAAAATGGTGGTAATATTGCATAGTGCCTGTCTGGGTCCTAAGCTAGCTAAATATGCTGTCGTTTGCAGTTTAACTCAGCTATAACAGATAAAAACACTGTATAAGGAACTCCTCGTATATTTATTTTTATATTTTGCTTTTGGAAATTTAAGAATTAGGCTACACCTTCAACACTTAAAATGCTTAGCAGGCTTTTAGTCTTACAGCCACACATACACACTAGCATGTCAAGAAATCCTAAGCTTGACAGACACACTGTCAAAGCACAACTTACAGTAGCAACCATAATGGTTGCTACTGTAAGTTGTGCTTTGACTGTTGCTGTCTGGGAGAGGGATTTAGCCAATGGTCAGTAGGACAACAGCTTTTACTGTGACTCTTCAGTGCGGTCTGCATGTCTTCCAACCAGTAATGTGTCCTCCTGCCCTCTAGGGGGTGCCATGTCTGGGACGAAACCCACAGTAGACACAGTGGTGGCGCAGTCTGTCCCTGCCTACTGGTACTATATGTTGGCAGGAGGTGGTGCCCTTTTGCTGCTGGCCACTATAACCGTGGTGGTGATACTGTCCTGCCGTAGGTACCACTGGGCAACCAAGAAGACCAGCGGTAGCCAACACCATCATTCAGTGATGTACCACAACAGCCAACATCCAAATCAACAAGGTCCCCAAAACTGCTACCACAACCAAAACCTCAGTTATACTCTAGTCCATGGCCCCAACCAGAACCACGTGTACTCAGGTACCGGGACAAGTCTTGATCCCATGCTCACCATAAGGCTGGAGAAAGACAATCACTGTGATTCTGAGTGTTAAACCTACTGGACTCGTGAATGATACAAATTTATTAGAATGCTGTGTTCAAATAATGTGATCAAGGGGTGTGAAAACTCCCTGAAATGAATGGTAAGAATAACTGCTACTCTTCTCTGATGAGAATCTACACCGAGGAGACACTACAACTCTTCTTGCCAATGACTTATCTGACTGACTGAAGATGAGGATGCACTTTTGATGAACTTCCTGGTTGGCTGAAACTGGTAGAATGATGACTATCCCTTAGTGGAGAGAGCAAACTGAAGAACTGACTCTGTGGGCTGAACATTATAGACTTTTTGATGCCCTTAAGAGTGCGCTGGCTCTTACGGCTGCACTGCTGCCTGAAAATAAGATTGATTATGAACAGGATAACAACAAAATCACCAACAGATTGATTAATAGACCGCAAACAACATATATGTACAATGTCAGTGTTCTAACAGCATAATTTTCTTCTCTTTAATGCCAGAGCACGATATGTCAGAGCTGTGTGAACCCTGCCTGCCTATAGATACCCTGTCTGTCAGTGAAGGGGTTTACACCCAGGTAGACATTGTGTTTGTGTGCTGCATAAAAAGAGAAAGTTCTTTCTTTGGGTCTGAATGTTGCTGCAGTTTATTTGTCCACTAGCCTTCGAGAGATTGACAGCGACAGAGAAAGTTTAACAACACAAAAGGGAAAGGTAAAGGAAGAATTAGTGCTGCCTGTCCAGCTGTGACTGATAGACAGCTACACATCCTCCGTGTGTTAACTTCTTTGCTCTGTGGACGAGGAATCTGTGTTTACATACGGGGAAAGTAGAATGAGACGGCTTACATCAAATCCTTCACACCTAGAAACAGACACCTCAAGACTTTTATTCATTACATCCAGGATATGCCTTTAGATAAACTATTACTTCCTCATCTCCAGAATGTAGTAGTGCCTCAGTGTCACATAAGAATATGGACTCTTTACAGCTTGTCACCTGGATCTCATGGAAAATCCAACACTTGTGTCTGTTAACTTGAGCATTTGAAGATGCAGGTCCTTCCTGTGCAAGAACAAAGAATCTTAAAATCTTTATTTTGTGGACATAGTCTTGATATCATGGATTACACGTTGAGAATTTGCAGCATACTGGCCTGGTAGTGAGACCAAACTTGTTGTGACAAAGAGGATCTTACTGTATTTACATAGTTTTAGAAAGTCACTGATTTTTGGTCATTTCATTCATCATGCTGTGTAAAGTAAGACTGACTCCAGTGCAGCACTATCACATGTTTAGCTGTTTACAGTGTATGTTGGCATCCATCACTGTGTTTTCGTTTGTGTTGAGCATTTCATGATGCACTGCTGATAAGTTGTTAAGGGTAATATTTGCACTTTTCTTATTACTATTCATTTATTGAAGGTTGATTTCTTACATTTACTGTGAGTCTTAAAAAAGCTACAGTATGTGGAGTGAGGTACTGGCAGTGAATTAAATACAGTACCAGTATTTTCTTTACCGTCATACGTTACAGTAGGCCTACATCTGATTTTGATGTGTAATAGTTTATATGTATTAACTATTGTAAAAAGGCAACTGTCATGTTGATTGTGTTCACTGAGATGGTTTTAGCAGCTTTTCTTGACTTTGATCTAATGTCAGAACCTCCAGTTGAAGCCATTGTGCAACAGCATGTGTCCTTCAATATAAACATGCAGTTTAATTAAGATAGGGACACAAGATGGAAGCAAATCATTGTGTTCTTTCTATTTGAATGATGTACAAAAAAGAAAGAAAGAAAGAAATTTGCTTGGTCTTGGATTGTGACATCACTGAAGCTGGACATCCTACAGTCGTATTTATTTTGTGGACTTCTTCTCATCTCACCATCTTGTGTTGTGTGTTACCCCCATACATCATTTTGCCCAAGTCTCTCAGCCTGTTTTTTTATATGAAAACCTTCTTGTTCCTATTCTGCTCCTTCCCATCATTGTAAATCCTCCCAGTAAAAAACACAGGAGTGAAAACGAAAGGCAGAAATGAAGGAGAACAAAATCTCTCAGAGGAGAAGGGCCCATTAAGTGAGCCTCCTTTCTGTCCAAAGAATGTGCCCAAAGCTGGACGGAGATGAAAGCAGTTTAAAATAAAAAAAAAATAAAGAAAACTCCTCTCTTTTCTTTCTAAAGATAGTTTTTTATTTACTCCAAGAGGAAGGCATGAAGAAGGGCAGGTTGGGGTTTGGATTGAAGGAGGAAGACAACTAAAGGAGGAGGGCAGGTTGTTTCAAACACAACAGATGAAAGAAGCCTTTTGGTAGAATAGACTGTGTGATGGAGATGTGCATTATATGCACTGCACACATACGCTCGTACGCAACTAGCTAACAAATGCAAACCTTAGTTAAAAACCCAGGTTTCCAATAAGCTATCAAATTTAGTAGTTTAAATCATTGCGTAATGCATTTAACTTCTTTCATTATAAAATGATCTTTTGTGCTTTTTTCTTTTACTCATTTTGTGCTTGCATATCCATTTTCCACCTCCTTAGCCCCTCTCCTTTCCATTTCAATCGACTTGCGAATGATTTACACATTATATGACTCATTCTAGCAGCCCTGTGCAGTAACCCAATCAATGTAGGCCCAAAATTCACATAGAGGAATGATATATGGCTGTAGTTGTTGTGCTGCCCGTGCACTTTTCCCTCTCAGTCTCTCTCCCTCTTTCTCTCTCTATCAAACTTTTGCAAGATTTGGAAAATATGCTGGCATCTTTTCATGCACCACTTTTAAATCAACCTCCCCGCACTTCTCTGTCCCTACTCTATCACAGACTACTTTGAGGCCCTTTAATATTTCTAATTAGTTAATGGAGCTGATGGCATTCATAAAGCCCTGCAGTAAGCATTTCTAGCCCAGGCCATCTCTATTTTTTTCTTTCTTCCTCTATTTCCTAGAGAAATATTACAAGTGAAAGCAGTCCAACTGGTCCTCTGGCCCCCACTGGAGCAGCGTTTGGTGCCAAAGAGCCATCCACGTCTTTGCCTGAATAAAAAGCCCCCTTTTTATTCCTCTCTTTACTAATTGGAGAGTAGAGATAAAATGGGACTACAGGGAGTTTTAGTCTCCTTTCTGTGATGATGATTCTCAGGATCCTAGCCTGAGGCGTTAAGCCAGGATCATTAGAAAGTGTTAAACAGGCGTCCAGGGTGTCCGAGCATCTCTCTTTTTTGTTTCTACTTCTTTTGCTAGTTACTTCTTGAAGGTTTTGTCAAGGCTTGCGGTGATTTCAGCTGATGTTGAGAAAAGAGAATTTAGAGTGTCGAGCATCTGTTGTGAGACTGTACATTTACACAGTCAGGAAACAGGACAGAAGACTGATTAGATGCCTTCATGTGCATGTACTGTACAAATTGTAGTCTTACTCAAAGAGCACATGTCAGTAGGACCTCCATAAAATATTGTAATTTACAGTGTGGCTTCTGGAATAAACATTTATAAATGTACAGGTTTTGTTTTAGCTTCAGGGCTAACCCCCTGTTCTGCACAGTTACCTCAGAATACCTGCATCTCTTTTCCACTGACCAACGTGACAACATTTATTTGTTTAGTACAATTCTTAAAGCTACTAACAACATTATTTGAGATCATAGACCTAGTCTACTGGGCCACTCTGGAGGTTTCCCAGCTTTCATATCTCTACGTGTGTCTGACACTTTTACTTTTCACTTGTATATCGCTAGTTTGTTCTCATCCTCATTTTAGTGAAGTGAAATCTCAGATCTAAGGTGTAAAGTGCAGCTATACTGAGTTTTTGGAAAATCTATCCTGATGACATGATTTTTGTTAAATGAATCAGTGATGTTGCTATTGTTTATTTAGTTGTTTTAATAATAGTTTTTTTTATCAGAAAGGTTTTTCTTAATGTAAATCTGTTCAAAGCAGGAAAGAAACATGGCTTCAGCAGTGGATGAGCTGAATTCAGTTTTATTCAACCTGTGACTAGTTTAGACTCCTTCAAACTGAATCAAACCAGCCTTGAAGTGGTTACCTTCTTAAAGTAGTTGTTCATCCCTGGTTTCAGACACGTCACTGTTGTGCACTTTCTCTGCCTATGTGAAAAAATACCTTGACTGTATGACTGCCTTTTAACCTACTCTGGATTTCACCAGCTTGTACTTCAAGTAAATACTGAACTACAGAAGTGCATACAAAGCCAATAGTGATACCATGATCAAATTATTCATTTCAATTTAGAGAAGGCCTCAACAGCCAAAACACACTTGAGATTAAAAACCCTCCAATTAGTATAGGATTTGTTGGTTGCTGTAATATTTGAATTGAAATTGAATTGAGTCCATTTCTTTTGTTTATTCTCTAACTAATTTTGGAGATCAATTTTGGGCCAATGTCAAACAAACAAAAACTCAGTCTTTGATTCTTTGATTTCAAGAAAATGACCTCATATTTAATCCATGGCAAATGTTTTTGTTTCACAGACAACAGGTGTCAGCTAAAAATATTAACGTATTGTATTGGAACTTTGTAACGACTGTTACAGGAGGTACAGTATAATATGGAGATGCCACATGTTAAAATAGTCTCTTAGACAATGACATTATCTAACTGAGGAAATTAGGCTGTGTATCTTTTTTTCATATCTACTAAATTAGTTTTTCACCTGCTATCTTTTCAATATCTATTACGGTGTCACTTCATAATGTGGTTTTGGTTACTTTGCCCCAGCAGTAAA